GACTCACGCTGTTTTTCTTTTACGTGAAATTTTCACGTCTTTTCCAAAATTTTCATTCATTAATTTTTTTACTCGATGGTTTTTATTTAATTTAAACGTTGAAAAGATTAGGAAAGTGTAAAATTAATCGTGGAATGTTTTCGAATATAAAATTTTTTTTTTTCCATTGATAATTTTCTTTCGAAGGGTATTAAATTTTTCACGCGGGTTTGTTTTTGAAAATAGTTTCTCCTGCTGCTGCCCCCTCCCCTCCACCCGAAAATATCTATCGATATTACACATCCTGCCAAAATATCGTTTTGTTTTTTTTTCAAGGTCATGCCACTCGACTTCCTTCTTTTTAATTTATTTTAAAAACCTTTTAAAATTTTCACCATTCCCGTACGGATTAGGATAGTATTGTTCCAGAAGGGGAGGAGGAAGAGGAGGAGGGAGAAATTATTGCTTTTTATCCAAATGATAATAAATTTTTTTTTAGAAATGTCCGATTTTACAATTTAACAAATTGTTTTTCCAACGGTCATTATTCTTTTCCAACGATAAATCAAAGGTTATAAGGGATCTTTAAATTTTACCAAATCATTTAAAATTTTCTTAGTTTTTTCTTTTAAATGTTTAAAAAAATATCCGAAAACAAAAATAGAACGACGCAAAGTGTTAAAAAAATAAACAAAAAAAAGAAAACAAAACTATAAACAAAGTAAAAAAAAAAAAAAAAAATTATTTTTAATAAAAAGGCAGTGAAAATTTTTCAAAGGGGGGAGGGGGGGTTTACCTCAATATTTCAGTTCGTCTTGATTTTTTTTGCTGTCGTAATTATCGTGAGTTTAAAATGTTTCAAGTCTCGATGAGAAAAAAAAATTTTTTACCGAAACTTTTTCGTATGAATTCATAAAAATTTTTACGATTGGATAAAATAAAAATAAAAAAAAAATTATAAAAAGATTTATTCACCTTTAATATTTCGAATACTTTTCCACGTCTTCTTAAAATAAAAAAAAATTTTTTTTCTTTTCTTTTTGCTATTTCTAATCTTTAACTTTTTTTTCTTTACTTTAAATTAATTAATTAATTTATTATTATTATTATTATCAATCGATAATATAACGAACTCTATCGATTACATTCTTACACCTTTATTTTTTCAAAAAAAAAAAAAAAAAAAAGAGAAAACATTCGCCGCGGGGTTTTTTTTTACAGTTACTCTTTTTTTTTTTAAAAAAAAATTAAATTTATTTTAATTAATTTAAAAACAAAAACCTTAATACGCTCGTGCAATAATACGTTAAAAATAATAATAATAATAATAATATATATATATAATAATAATGAAAATTGCATAAATGATAATATAAAATTTCGAATACTTTTATTAATTGTCGAAAAAGAATTTAAATTTAAAAAAAAATTTTTTTTAAAATTTTTTTGTCAATTTTGATTTCTGCTAGTAAAACCCACGAGTAAAAATTTATTAAATATGGAAGCCATTATTTATATAAACAATTTAATATTTATAGGGACAATTATGGTTGAATTTATAATGAAATAATAAAAGTGTTTTCAGTGTTTATTTTTTTTAAATGCTAATAAAATTATCTATGAATTAAAATTTTTTTCTATTTTTTTCTGAAGTGAATCTGTATAAAAATGCTTTCTCACCTTTTACGAAGAATTCCTTCACGTTTAAACTCAATATCAAAACTAAGATTTTTTTCTTCTGCAGATGATACGTTATGCCCGAAATCCGAAACCGGGCTCATATTAGGAATATATTCGATGAACGATGGTAGACACGAAACGTCCAAGTATACACTAACCGGACAAAAATTTAATAAAAAATCATGTTTTTTAATGGAATCACTTATAAGAAAAGCGGGGCCTTGTCCTAAATTGGGAGAATATAGGATATTGTACGATATAGACCCGGTTTTTCCGATCGTTTGCGTCGTGGGTTTGGGACTAGAATGCGCGGGCTACGACGAAGACGAACAACTGGATAAGGGAAAGGAAAATATAAGGGTAGCAGCAGGTGTTGCCGCTAAAGTAATGGTACAGTTTGAATTGTCTAAAATATATATCGAAGGTTTAGGACACCCGGAATCTACTGCGGAAGGAGCGGCTTTAGCCATTTGGGTATATCAAGATTTTAAAAATCCCAAATATAAAAGGCTGCCCTTGGCCATAGAATTGTTTGACGATAACGATTGGACGGGTTGGCAAATAGGTATGCAAAAAGCGGCCGCACAAAATTTGGCCAGATCTCTAATGGAAGCTCCGGCTAATAAAATGACTCCGATAGTTTTCGCTCAAAATTCTGTTGAAGTTTTGTGCAAGGCTGGTATAAACGTCGAAGTTAAAGTACAAAATTGGTGCGAGTGTTTGGGAATGGGAGCGTTTTTAGCCGTCGGTAAAGGTTCCTGCGAAAGTCCATTATTCATGGAAATATCTTATTACGGAGCCGGTAATTTCAAAGAAAGACCGGTTGTTTTAATCGGTAAAGGAGTGACTTATGACAGCGGTGGATTAATGCTTAATAAAATGGAAGATTTAATTAACGCAAAAGGTGACATGTCCGGAGCGGCATGCGTTGTAGCAGCTTGCCGAGCCGTGGCTGCACTTCAACTTCCGATAAACATTCGGGGTTTGATACCCCTTTGTGAAAACATGCCCGGTTGCAATGCCATGAAACCGGGAGATATTGTTCAAGCCATGAACGGAAGGAGCATTTACATTCAAGACACCAGATGCGAAGGGCGACTCATATTAGCGGATGCATTATGCTACGCTCAGAGTTTTTGCCCAAGATTCATCGTCGACATAGGTAGCATGACTAAAGGTATAAGGGAAGGTTTCAGCACGGCCGCCGTAGGAGTATTTACAAATTCTACGAGACTGTGGAAACAAATCAGAATCTCTGGCATTCACACTGGCGACAGAGTATGGAGAATGCCGCTCTTTAGTCATTACGCGAGTAAAATAAAAAAATCATCTTCAGTAGATTTTAAAAATTACGGAAGAATGCCTCGTTCAGCCGATCCGTGTAGGGCAGCTGCCTTCTTACACGAATTCGTACCTTGCGGAGAATGGTTACACATTGATAATTTTGGAGTATCGGTAAGCGACGGTATAACGGATCCGCCATATTTATCGAGAGGCATGACCGGAAGACCAACGAGAACTCTCGTTGAATTTCTTTCACAGCTTTGCTGCAGGCAAGATGAAGGTTCGGACTAAGGTGATCACAAAACTATTTTTTGTGTATTTTTTAGTTTCAATTATTTATAATATTTACAAATTTTTATATTGTATATTTTCGTTTAAATTTTTACATAATTTTAATAAATTTTAAATTTTTTTCTGTATAGTATTTACCTTACTATAATTTATTACTCAATAATTTTAATAAGGTTATTAAAAAGGTTTTATTACCGCCACCACCACCGCCGCCGCCATTATTCCTTCCCGTATTTTTTATAATTTATTATTAGAGTAATAGTTTTATTTATAAAAAAAACAAAAATCCCTTCAAATCCCAATGACGACCATAAAAAGAAAAAATTACCACTTTTTTTTTGCTACTGGTCATAACTACCACAATTAATTAAATAAAAGTAAATTTCTCATTAAAATGCCTTTAAGGACTCTAATTAAAAGTTTTCCAACAACAAATTTTACTTATTTAGTTGATTTTTTACAAATTTAAAATTTAAATGTAAATTTAAAAAAACTTATTTTTAGCAAAAACTTCTTCTCTTAGCAAAAACTTTTTTTTTTCGTAGAAAAAAAGACAAATGGTTAAAATGATTACGACGACTGCGATAATAACAATTTAAAAATTATTATTATTATTATTTTTATCTTGTTTGCACTTAGTCGAGTTTATTTACAAAAAAAAATTTTTTATTTATCATCGTGTAATAATAATAATAATTAATTTTAATTGAAGAAATTTAAATTAAAAAAAAAAAACAAATTAATTCAAGTTTTTTTTCCTCTTTTGCTATCGTTAATAATTTGTTAAAAATAATAAAAAAAAAAAAAGAAAAGAAAATTTAAATCGGTCAAAAAAAGAAAAAGAATAATTATTTAAATTTTTTTTTTTTAATTAAAAATAATTAATTAAATTAAATTAAATTAAATAATGATGATAATGATGATGATGATGATTGAATGTTAATGATGCGAAGAAAAGAAAGAATAAAAAAAAAATAAACAAATTTTTATTTTTTCTCAGTCTTTCTTGTTTGTTTGTTTGTTTTTTTAACATTTAGAATTTCTTTCTGTTGGATTATGTAAAATTAAAAAAATTATTTACACGTGTCCGACACGTTTTATTATCATCATCGTATTAAAAGGGATTGTATAAAAATTGTAATTTTTTAAAATATATTTTCGTCATTATTATTATCGTTTACTTCCGCTACGACCCTTTGCCAAAAAAGGTAAAAAAAAAGTTTACCCTTCAATTTATAAATTTTAAAATACCCTTTATTATAAAAAAAAATTTCTACTTGTTCTAGAAAAAAAGAGTGTCAATAACAAAAAAAAAAGGGAAAAAAACAAAAAAAAAATCACGTGATTTATAATTTAATTAAAAAAAAAATATGTCGGAAAAGAAAATTTAACGAGCTTTAAATTGGGGGGGGACCCCTTAAATTTTTTTTTAAAGTGGAAGAAGAAAATTGAATGTTTATAATAAAAAAGAAAAAAGAAAAATTTAAATTGTAAATATGCATGATATTTTTATTATTTATTTACGTAAATCGTTTATTATTATTTGACGGTCGTGTAATTAATTAATTAAACAGTGTTTATCGTTTTCTAAGAATAAAAAAAAGTATGTAAATAAACAAAAAAAAATTTTTTTTTTAATTTTTTTTTTTTTTGTTTAAAGTTAAGAACGTTTTGTGAGAGAGAGTGTTTGAAACTGAAAAGTGAGATAAAAAGAAAATTTTTTTGATTTTTAATCAATAAATCGATCGATTGGAAAATACGAGAATAATAATGATAAGTAAATTAATTAATTTTTTTTGTCGCCTTCTTTAAAAAAAAAATCTAAAAAATTTTTCTTCCGTGTTTTTTTTTTTTTTATTATCCACCGCCTTGTTTACTTCAATAACTTTTTGTTTTCTCCACCCTTCTCTCTCTACCTTCCCTTCTTTCCCGCCAAAAAAAAAATTTCCTATTTTATTCAATTAGTCGTAAAAAAAGAAGACAAAAAAGGAAAAAGAAAATCATTTAAACCGTATCAAATTGAAAATTTTACTGTCGTTTCTCTCGCCCCACTCCCTATTCCCCCCATCCTCTCTGCCCTACTATCTCCCTCTTTCTCCCTCTTCCCTCCTCTCTTCTCCTTCTTCCATTTTTTTTTTTTTTTATACGACTACAAAATTTCTTCTACATCCACGTTCTTTATTTTATTTTTCATTTAACGTTCATTAAGTAAAATTAAAAAAAAGTAATAACAATAATAATAATAATAAAAAGAGAAAGAGGAAGACGAAGACGAAGAAGAAAAAAAAACAAATAAATAAAAAGTAATTTTTTTTTTTTAGTTTAACGACAGAATATAAAACTCAAATTTCGTAAACCGTGTAAAATTTATATTTAATTATTATTTATTATGTAAACATTAATTAATTAATTAATTAATTTTTTTTTGTTTAATAAAATTTCAAACCGCGGCATTATTTATAAATAAATTTTTTTTCCCGCCATTTTTGTTTTTCTTCTCGCGTTTGTTTATGCAAGCATTCAAAAGAAAATGATCGATTTCCGTTAATAAATTTTAAATTATCATCAAAATAAATTTTTTTTTTGTTTGTTTGTTTAAATTTAAGCCAGATGAAAAATTTCAAATCTGATTTGTTGTTATTATTATTATTATTATTACGTTTACTTTATGTGCTTATTTTGTGTTTTTGAATAAAACACAACATGAAAAGGATTATTATTAGTAATAATAATTATTTAAATAAACAAATTTTAAATTTTGACCGACAAACGTTTCCAAACCGACTTTAATTTTTTTTTTT